ATTTACAGGCGCATGCTACCACGCCCGGCTAATTTTTTGATTTATTGTAGAGATGAGATCTCGCCTGCCCAGGTGGGTCTCAAACCTGCGGGCTAAGGCGATCCACTCACCTCAGTCTCCCAAAGGCATGGGATTACAGGATGAGCCACCGAGCCCGGCGGTTGTAACACTTAAAACTTTGTTTTTTAAACAGACCAGGTCTCACTGTGTGGCCCAGATTAGACTACGTGCAATCATAGCTCTCTGCAGCCTTGGACTCCTAGGATTAAGCAATCTTTCTGCCTCAATCTCCCCAGTAGTTGGAATTACAGACACATAGCACCACGCCCAGCTAATTTTTTAATTTTTTGTGGAGACAGAGTCTCATATGTTGCCCAGGCAGGTCTCAAGCTCCTGGCCTCAAGTGATCCTCCTGCCTCAGTCTTCCAAAGCACTGAGATTACAGGCATGAGCCACTGCACCTGGCCTGGCCTATAGCAAGTTTTGAATTAATGTCCTATTCTCCACTGAGTATGCAGTACTGTTTTTGCTGAATGACCCACTGGAACTTGGGTAGCTTCAGTGACAGCAAGAAGGAATATACCTCACTGACATGACTCTACTCAGCTTTGAGAGGCATACTCCCTCAGTGGCAAGGATATTCTGTGCCACAGGCTGCCAATGTGTCAATGTGTATCACATACTCAGCAGTGGGAACCACGTTTACCAACACAGAAATGGCCCAAAGGGTCCCACCTGCAGGTAGATAAACACTATGGGTCACCACGTTCATTTCTAAACCTCCGGATATCATCAGTTAATTTTTCTCCTAAGGGGACCTAGAAATACCATCAAGTGGGCTCCAGTATTCAAGAACCCCAGGAAAGTTTGACTTCCTTTTAGCGTATGTACATGATCCAACTCACCTTCTTTGACTATAGCTCATAAGGTATAGGATCGTTGTCACATTTGACCAAAATATAATTCAAAGAAACCATTTCACATCTTACAGGGACATTTTCCTTCCTCCTTCAAGGTATGGCGATGAAATTTCCTCCAGTTGCCACCGTCACACACATACAAATGTGTTCTGGTGACAATCTGCATGTTGTCTCATGGGGTAAAGGCATTTTCATGCAGAAGAGCAACAGCCTTAGTTAGCAGTGAGTAAAATTCTCTTAGAAAAAAAAAAGTCCAGATGTCCATTGTGCTTTCCTCCCTATTTGTCCAGGTTAATGAAATGCACGAACAGAATAATCAAAACTCAACTGGCAAAAGTAACTGAGGCTTTTAAATTTCTTGGCCAGAAGCTCTTCCACTGGTCCTGCTAAATTAAAGTCGATGCGCCCTCCCCCCTTTTTGAGTCAGAGTCTTACTCTGCTGCCTAGTCACAGCCACTGCAGCCTCAACCTGCTGGGCTCAGATGATCCTTCCGCCTCAGCCTTCCAAGTAGCTGGAACTATA